CTTTAGAGAGAAAAGTTGGTGATAAAGAGAGCATTTGTCAAACTCAAAGGAGAAAGAAAGAAAAGGCTAAGTGGATGCAATGGTGACTTGGTGAGACTAAGATCTAAGTTTGGGATAATGTTAAAGACTAAAGAGAAAAGGTGGAGTCGAAACTTGAACGTTGAAAGCTGTATGGACTATGGAGGTTGAAGAATATGAGAAGAGTTTGAACTTTAAAAAGTTAAAGTCTTAGAGAATATTACTGCAAGCAAGAATAGGAAAGGTCGGGCGGTGAGTCATAAGTGGAGTAGGATTATTTTTACTTCTAGATGATGATAAGTTAAGAGAATCAATTACCTAATTAGAGAAAATTACTCAATTATTAGAGGTTTAGGTGAGATTGGGAATTGAAAAACAAAATAAATAAATAATAAATTAAAATTTTTTAATTTTTAGACGGGTAAACGGGTCAAACCCGTTAACTTGATGGGTCAACCCGTTATTGACCCTTGACCCGTTGGGTTTTCTTAACGGGTCATTAACGGATTACGGCTCATAAATATATGACTCTAACCCGTTTTAAACGGGTGGGTAATGGGCGGGTTAACGGGTTGGGTAAAAATTGCTAGGTTTAAAGGCGATAGATACTTTTCCCATAACTGAACACCCAAGAAAGAAAAAGGATTTACCAATTGTTGTTGGAGGATCTGAAGATCAAACGCAGACACCAATGACAAAGCGGAAAAGTGCAGTATTTTGACATCAATGCAATCAATCATCCGAGGCAAACACAGAAAGCAAGAAAAAATGTTGAGTATATTCCTGCCAATTTCACACTTTGTATATAGAGTTATGATATAACATCAGAAGGAAAAAAATTCAACAAAATGTTTCGTCAGAAACAGATTGTATCAAACCATCAAAAAATGTTATTTCTTTATTTCCCGAGATTCAAATCATCTTGGGGTAACTTTGAAATAAATAGTCTGTACCTCAAAAATACCTTAAAAATTGATTTTGTTTTATCAGCACAGTGTAGTGTATCTACCTCATGTCAGAAAATATGAAAATAGCAGAAGAACAAAATAATTGTTTTGAAGTGTGATCTCACTTTTTTTAAGGATTTAAAATCTTTCAGAATACAACAGAACACAAAACTCTCTCAGAATTAGATGTAGAACTTTGACTTTGCATAGGAATTTATAATGCCTGAAAAGTCATTATTTGTAGGGATGTATCTCTCCAGAAAGACACCATTTCATAGAAGTACTTTTTGACTGTCAATAGTTATGTCTGATTTTCAAACATGTCTTTCCAAATTTTAATTTAATAAAATAAAATAAAAAATCCAAAAATAATAAAAAATTAATGATGTTCTAGCAGTCAAGCCCCAAGGTGCCCCAAGTGCCCATGTGCCGATTTTTTTGACTACATATAAAGGGGTAAGGCCCAATTTGCCTTGAGTTT